CGTAAACGAAACCTAGAAGCTGCCGGGCTGGACTGCATTTAAAACTAACATAACCATGACGAAGCTAAAAACAAACACAGCCATCGGGCTGATATGGAAATTATCTTGATCTTTAGAGTGACTTCCCGCCAGGCGAGATCCACCGTTCTATTTCGCCGATAGTTTTATTCTTCATCTTCTCAAATTTAGCGAAATGATTCGTGATTATTTTTTTTATTTACATATTAAATTCTTATTCTCTGAAGGAAGCCAAGGTCACAACCGCTTGACAAAAGCTTACTCCACAATATTTTCACTTGTTTTCAGTCGTGTAATTTCTTGACCGCTCAGGTTTTATCATGAGTTCCTTTCTACACGCGATGAGGTCTAATCTTAAGAATACTTCAGTTATTTTATTCTGGATGTTAACACACGAAAAGAGAGATATTGTTTCGACATCTAAGACGTCATGTGACTGAACACAAAAAACCAGGAAAATGAGACATAATTAGTTTCTTTGATATATATTTACCGAACGTTCGGTTAAACTGTCAATTTTTGGTTCCAATATTTAATCGAAACATCCCTAAAAGTTTGTACGTTAAATGCTCTACAACAATCGTAATGTTTATTCTTTGTTTTACGCACGATGAGTAACAGTCTTTAGAATAATCAGAAGATTAATTGTTCCGTTATTTTAATAGGTTTCAAAACAAATTTTCGAACGATCACGTGACGGTCAGAGTAGGATCACGTCTCACAAATAAGGGACTTCGACTTTTCGACCGTATCAGTTACGATGTATCAAAAACTTAAAGAGACCGCCACGAAATATGTCATAATTCTTCATTTCATAGAAAAAGAAAAAAAGAAGAAAAACAAAAACATGTGCGAGTGTGTAGAGAGCACATCTCGACAATACCTGTGCAGACACGGGGTCATATTTCATCATTCCATCCCTAATGGTATAATTTACATGATAAACCTGCGTTGCATTCACTGTTGATTAATTTATTGATGTTACCATCAATATTTCCTGATGGCGTAACTCCGGCTACACTTCCCTCTGTCGAAAACGTGAAAAAGCTGTACTACGCTTCCTAATCAAGTTACAGTTTATTCAATTGATTTTATGATTCTATCACAATGTTTCGGTTAACTCCCTCTCACAGCTCTTAGCTTATTTGAAAAAAAAACACCAAAAACGTAAGGCAGTAAGCAGGTCGGAACAAGGCCATATATGGGCGTTAAGAAAAAATAAAATGTGACAGATAAATGCTATGTAGTAGACAAATCACTTACAAATGTCATTCAAATTAAGACGAATTAACGTATCGTAAAAGCTCCATCAACTCTTATAGTGATTATTTCTTCACTTATACTGCGCTGATGCTCCTTTGGGTCGTCAATCCTGACACAGACAGGCTTTAATTAGGCCCTTGAATTTACGTATGACAAAACGAGAATCACTAAATTAAATATTATAGCTCTTTTTTTAAGTATTTGTTTTTCTGTGTGTGTGTGTGTGGAGGTTTATTTGCATGTTATAACATGCAAATTAGCAAATTAGGCTAGCTGAAATAACTCTTTGAAAATTTAAAAAATGTGAAGTCATTACGCCTTGAATGGAGAGGAAAAAACCAAGCCTGCGATCATTTTAAAAGTTTTCTCTGCGTCTCGTATCAGACTCAGAAAATAAGTTTTATTTTTATCTCTTCCGCTAACTTCCTTTTTCCTTATTAAATACACGGCCGATAACCTTAGGGCTTGATGCTTTACAGGATTAGCGTATTTGATTAACGATTACGAAGTTTATGATGATTGATGATGATATTTGTTTGGGTCGAAATTCTTTCTTTCGTTCATAAGCGGAACACGAGAAGCGAGCTGGCAAGGGCGAAATTGAGTCATACATGATTTTCTGTTACATATATGCTGTACCTTTTAATGGCTTAACTCTCCTCCAGGTTCTTTGTAAATCAGTGGTTGAGCATCCAAGCGGGAAATCGGAAGGTTGAATGATCGATTCTCTAAATTGAAAATCCAGAAGCTTTCTTTGTCTCTCGCTCGGATAACATCTTTTTCCAAGACTTGCTTCTTGAGGTGCAAGGCCAACGTGAGGGGAGGAGGGTGAGGGTGACTTTTATTCTACGTCTAGTACACGTGTGCAAATATCGTTACCACTCCGTCAGAGTATGATCATGCATGGACCATAGGAGAACGGAATCAGTTCAAAAGAGTTACAACTGCTCAAAAATATAAAAATCTGGCACCTTTCCTAGCATTTTTATTGATGAATAACTTAACGAATATTACACACACACAAATATGTTTTCGTTTGAGAGGCTTAGATGTTTTCGGACAGAACTAAGGAAAGCGATGTTTAGGCCCAAAGCGAAAAGAAAAAAACGTTTCCATAGTTATTTCCATCAACAGATCTAGGAATTTATATATGCTGGTTAGCGGTGAAGCGCGTTCCATTGACCTCTTACCCAGACCGTCGCCGTTCATGTAAGCACGGGCTCAAACTTTGTATCCATAAAGTTCAGAAGAGTTGATGCACCATATCAGTATGTCTGACCAAAACAGAGAGTTGTTTGAATGTACAGCCGAGTATAAGGCAAAAATGCAACTCTCGTCAAAGAAAACTTGTATACGATTAAATTATCAAGGGCTTTTTCAGCTCAGTGTTTCTTTCTCTTCTGGTGTGGCAAAATATCACAGGAAATTTTAAGAAGTTCCCGCACTACATGTCGAGACTGCATCGCGTGACATAACAATCCTTTTGTATCTATTTCTGTAGTTGTAAGGCCACAAACGGGTGCTTTCCTCGTCCTAAAATACGATCATTGTGTTGTCAATACCTTTTAAAAGAATAAGCTATAAATGACACAGCTATGGATAGGTAAATTTTCTTTCATTTTGAAGCGGCGTTTTGTAATTATTTGCAAGTTTACAGCTCGCTTACTATTTTTATGCAACTGTATTTGCATTTTCCGGTTTTACTAGTAAGCCATTGTGATATTTGACCCGTGAGTCTGGCGTGCGTAACAGAGTGAGTTAATGTCTGGTTTTGCCCACCCAGAAGAACTGCTCGTCACGTTTTTGTATACATGAAACGCAAAATGGCGAGATCCTTAGTTCCTCTAAAAATTCTAACGCATTCTTAGCGTCTCCTCTAAAACTATGAGTCTGTCTGCGAGCTATATTTTTATCTCATCGTAAGAGACATCACTGAAAAATTAATTTATAAACAACCTTCGAACGTGATGGAACGCCGAAGTATGAAAATCAATCTTGCATAGCGTTATCTAGGATCACGAGGAAATAACTCTTGCACGTTTCGTAGTAACATATACCAGCTGGGAGGGCTCTTGCATATATACAATACTGTAAATGAAATCGTTAGCTACAGATTTCAGTTCTCTCAATGTATTTGTATCACATATTTCTTCACTCCATTTCCTTTTAAGTATTTTTATCCCTCATTTTTTTATTGAAACTCTCGTCAGGATCTTTCGAGGTTAATTTTGGCTGTCGCTGCTCATGTATGCCTGAAACATGTACGTGCTAAAATGACGTGTTGGCAACATCACGAAATATTTGGTTAGTACCATGATTACGAAACAAGGAAGTAAATAGGTCCATGAAAAGCGGGTGGACCGTGAAGAAGACCTAAATATAGAAAGAGCACTTTTAAAAAGTTCCAGTGGTCTTGATTTGGTTGGGTTCTCGCGCAACTTTCTTCACCCGTTAGCTGGAAAAGTAAGCTTCTTTTTAACCTACAATAGTCAGCTTCCTACTCTACA